AGATCAGATGCAAGTAAGCTTGAACAGATGAAGAAAAGAAGCTGAAGAACAAGAAGACCAAAGAATACCTGATCAAGAAATATCACCTAGAGACAAAGATCAAGGAAACACTGGAAATAATAAAGCAGCAAATAACAGCCATAGCCAAGAAGATCAGCAGATATGAAGCTCGAATTGTACACTACAGGCAGAATCTCCCATTTCAGTTTAATCAGAAATGTTTCTACCAATCCATCAATGGAGAGACTGCAATGAACCAGCTAATACTTGACAAAGAAAAAACAGTGCAGTTCTGGGCACAGCTATGTGAGAACCCCAAGAAATACAACAAGAATGCAGCTTAGATAAAAGAGGTGAAGAAGAGAAAAAAAGAAGAAGCTGAAATGAAAGAACTTGTAATAAGAGCAGAAGTGGTGGGAAAAGGGCAAGGAACGTCAAGAATTGGTCTGTACCAGGTGAAGATGAACTGCATGGTTTTTGGTTGAAACATCTGACTGGTCTGCATCCATTCATTGTCAAGCAGTTTAACAATACAGTATACTGCAAGGAGGTGAAACTGAAGATTGGTTAACATCTGGCAAACCCTACCTGATAATGAAAGATCCAACAAAAGGGACAACACCAGGCAACTACAGGCCAATTACCTGCTTGACAACAACTTTCAAATTGTGTGTGGTAGCTGATACAGCCCAACAGCATCTAGTTGAAAACAAGCTCTTTCCACCTGAGCAGAAAGGAAACCACCCAAACAGCAGAGGGACAAAAGATCAGCTCCTAACTGACAAGATGATTTTCAAAAACTGTAAGACCAAGAAGACCAACTTGAATGTAGCTTAGATTGATTACAAGAAGGCATTCGACTCCCTACCATATGACTGGATAATCAAGTGTGAAATAGCAGGAATCAATAGAAACATCAGAAATTTTGTGCAAAGATCAGTGGCACAATAGAAGACAGAGTTGCTGATCAATGGCAATAGGAGAGGGAGAGGTTAACATCAAGAGAGGAATCTTTCAAGGATTTCAAGAAGACTTGAAAGTCTGTCCCTCCCCCTCTGCCTCCTTTAGACTACCCTTCCCCTCTGGCCACTGGCATCTTCCCTCTGCCATTTTGTCTTGCGCTGCAGGAAATGTGTCATGTGTCATGCCTACTAGGTGCTTTGTGACACACTTGTTGTGTGTTAAATGGGTTCCTTATAAATCCAGTTCCTGCTCTTTTCAAAAAATGGGAGGCTTGTAGTTAAAAAACAGGACTAGCCCTCCCTCTCCTGATGAAGCCGTCATCCACAGAAGTGTGTGTGTTTATGGTACACCTGTCTCTCATATGGAGAGATGAAGGTGCTGCCTGTAACTTTCTCCCCTTTTCTGCCCTTGGAAGATTTCTCCAGGTAGCATATTGCTGTGGCCTAGCTTAGGCTGACAGATCCCTGGGAACAAGAAAGGTTGCAAGGAAAAGTTGGAGGAAGCTCTCTCCAGCTTCACCCAAAGTAAATAATGCTACACCATGTTCAATGTGGACTCAGTGACAGGTTACAGACATTGAGCACACGGTGACTCTAACCTGTCCCTCTAGTAAATTGAAAGGTATCAGACCATAGATTAAATGGACAATTACTGGCTCTAACCTGTCACTCTGGTAACTTGAAAGGTGGCTAAGCCCTATATCCCAGGTAACATCCTTCAATTATGCAGCCCCACTCCACTGTTCAATAAATAAAGTGATTGATGATTTTTTTTTTCTCTTGGATGATTCTTGGTGAGGGAGGAAGTGAAGCTGGGGGTATCCAGCAATGGCTGCTCTTAAGTCATCCCATGTGAAACCTGGAAGGACTGACTGCCCAGATTGCTGAGACAAGATAGGACTCAGGTGTTGGGGCAGTGCAGTTTGGGCCGGCGTACTTTTCTTTAATAATCACAGAAGTGGAGGAACAAGTATGTGAATGTGGCTGTGAGATGGGCCCTATGGTAATTTCGAAATTGTGGGTAGAGATTGGGAGAGAATTGAGTACACCTTTAGTTCATAAGTGTCCATCCTCCCCAAGTCTCAAACTTTCTACTTTATCATTGTCAAATGATTTCATTCTGATCATGCTTGCTCTGCTTCCCTCCCTGGTAACCATAATTTGAGGATGCTTCAGGTAGAAAGAGGAATGGGAAGATTCATGTATGGGAAACAGTTACCCACTGAGAGAAATAAATGTGGAGATTTTGAAGATAGGATAACTTTGAAGTTATCTCTCTGGTCTACTGGCTCTCTCGACAAAGGAGGGAGGGAGGGCGGGAGGGAGGTGGTGGGAGGAAGGGAGGAAGGAAGGAAGGAAGGAAGGAAGGAAGGAAGGAAGGAAGGAA